CGTAGCAATCATGAAATGGTCAAGTTTTCAATTCTTAGTGAGGTAAGGAAGAGGGTTAGCAAAACCTCCAGCTTGGACTTCTGGGGGACAGGCTTTAGCCTATTCAGAACCCTGGTTTGGAGAGTCTGTTGGGAGATAATCCTGCAGGGAAAAGGGGTCCAGGAAGGCTGGACACTCTTCAAAAAGGAAATCCTAAAGGCCCAGGAGCAGGCTTTCCCCATGAGGTGCAAAATTAAAGGTCGGGGAAAATGGCCAGCCTGGTTGAACAAAGAGCTTTTGGTGGATCTTAGGGAAGAAAGGAGGGTTTACTACCTTTGGATGAAGGGACAGGCAACTCAGGAGGAGTATAGAGATCTTGTGAGGTTATACAGAGAAAAAATTAGGAAAGCAAAAGCCCAGCTGGAACTCACCTTGGCCATTTATATAAGGGACAACAAAAAAAGCTTTTATAAACACGTCAACAAAAAGAGAGTCAGGGAGAATGTCCATCCCTTACTGGATTTGAGGGGAAACACTGTGACCAAGGATGAGGAGAAGGCTGAGATACTTCATGCCTTCTTTGCCTCAGTCTTGAATAGTCGGACCAGCTACCCCAGCTACCGTTGGAGGCCTGCAATTAGTGGTGTTCCCCAGGGGTCAGTACTGGGTTTGGTCTTGTTCAATATATTCATCCCTGATCAGGATGAGGGGATAGAGTGTACCCTCAGCAAGTTTGCTGATGACACAAAACTGGGAGGGGTGGCTGACACCCCAGAAGGCTGTGCTGCCATCTAGAGAGACCTGAACAGGCTGGAGAGCTGGGCAGAGGGGAACCTGATGAACTTCAACAAAGGCAGGTGTAGGGTGCTGCACCTGGGGAGGAATAACCCCCTGCACCAGGACAGGTTGGGGCTGACCTGCTGGAGAGCAGCTCTGAGGAGAACAACCTGGGAGTCCTGGTGGACAGCAGGATGAGCATGAGCCAGAAATGGGCCCTTGTGACCAAGAAGGCCAATGGCATCCTGGGGTGCGTCAAGAAGAGTGTGACCAGAAAGCGCCTCTGCTCTTCCCTGGTGAGGCCCCATCTGGAGCACCGGGTCCAGTTCTGAGTCCCCCAGTTCCAGAAGGACAGAGAAGTGCTGGAGAAAGTACATCAAAGTCTATGAAGTTGATGAGGGGCCTAGACCATCTCTTTGCTGGAGCGGAGTAGAGGGGCAGATTCACCTCCCTTGCCCTGCTGGCCACACTTCTTTTGATGAAGCCAACGATGCAGGGGGGTTTCTGGGCTTCCAGGACACGCTGCCGGCTCATGTTAAGCTTCTCTCCACCAGCATCCCCCAGTCCTTCTCCTCAGGGTTGCTCTCAATCCATTCTCCACCCATCTTGTATTTGTGCCTGGAATTGCCATGTCCCATGTACAGGACCTTGCATTTGGCCTGGTTGAACTTCATGCTGCCTGCTGTCCCTTAAATGCTCTGGACTCCCTTAGAGATGCACAGGGTTTTGTAGATGTGACCGAAGAAGAAATGAGATAATGGAACAGGGTCATCCTGTTGCAGAGAAGATATCTGGAAACAGAGACATCTTGTCGTTCAGGTGTTTGTTAGACACTGTGTGCTGGAGCGGGGGCCTGAAGCGGTGTGGGAAGGTCAAAACATTCCCACCAGAGGTATCTTAAGTTGAGTGAAACTCCCCAGAGAAGGTCGCAGACCTGTAATGGGCTGTAGTTGGTGGTAGCTTCACTCTGTCTCGATGATCTGCTCTATCTCAATGGCTGAGTTGGACAATCCAAAGTTTGCAGGTAGGATCCACATCTTCTGTTGCACCTACTACTATTAGATGGGCAGAGCAGGGAACTTTCCACGTGTGTGAGCTGTTCCCGTGAGCTGTTCCCGTGAGCTGTGTCCAAAAGCTGATTTCCTTGCCTGAATATCGGAAGGCCTTGTGAAAACCACTCATCTCCTGAGTCATTACAGTTCCTTCCACAGAGGTGGATGGAAGAGGTTGACCTGTAGCTAAAATTTCACCCTTCTCGAGCTTAAACACTCCCCGTGTATTTGCGTTCCTCAGCAGGAGATAATTGAGCCTGGAGAAGTTTGATTTCCCTCTGGCCTTTGTCGGCTCTGTTGGCAGGTGGTCATTAAACCTCAAGGAGCCTGTGCCTGAGAGGTGTCCCAGCTCAGGGGAGATGCTGGTCACAGCCCACTGCCATCCAGGAGAGCTCAAAGGCTCTCACTTACAGGGTCTGAGCTACAAAACTTCCATCATTATTGTCAGATAATTGTGGTGCCTTCCAGAGTGGGCTACAACCCAGACAACAGGAGTTCCAGGGATGATTCCCCAGTAACAGGAGTTCCAGGTACGGTTGGAGAGTGCCCAACTCACTGGAGTTGTGACTGGGACAAGAAAGTCCCCGATTGTCCAAACTCACTGCCCCTGCAACCAAGAGAAGAAAGTGCCAGATCATCCCAGTCCCCTGCGCTTGTGACCAAGACAAGAACACAGCGTTGGCTGGTCCCAACGTGGCAATGTGGCCCAGGGAGGGTCTGCACCAAACACCAAGTAGCCTTTGGGCCTCCCTCTCCTGCCTTCCCAGCCAGGGCAGAAGCAGAGGAGCTGGTTCTCCCAAAGTGGAAGCCCAACAGGACTGGAAGGAGTCATGGTCACTTGCTCCCCTTGGCTAGCCAGGGAGCAAGGGAGGCCCCTGTGTCCCTCCCACACTGGAGAGAGGAATCCTACCTGAAAGGACATACCCACTGCTCTGCTGCCTTCAGCTCCCAACAAGGCAGGCCCCTCTGCCTCAGCAGGTCTGAGGCTTTCTAATGCTGTGAGAATTTCTAAATGCATAATGCTCTGAAGGGAGCTGAGGGGCATGAAATTTTGAGGGATTTTCTTGTTCTGCTCACACAATTCAGAGATGTCCCTGGTTCACTTGCCCGGCCTCAGTTTACATCCTGTTTCTGGGGGGTCAGCACTGCCTGGAGCTGCTGATGCAATCTCCACTACCTCAGAGCTTCCATCCCACCAGGGAGTCAGTTCTGTTGGTTTTACTCTCTGCAAATCCTCTGGAGGGACACGCTGCAGCAGGAACCTTCAGAGGCTCCTTCTTGCTATAAACCCTGGGACACTTTCGAGAGCAGGGAGTCTTCAGGTGCTGCTGGAGACTCACCTTTGGATGTGCTGGGAGAAGAGGGCAGAGCAAGGAATGAGCCCTGGTTCAGGGCTTGCAGTGAGGTCCAAGAAGTGAAGGGCATGGTAAGGAAGAGGCAGAAGGCGAGTCCCTGACCTGGGACTTCCTTGCCATGATCCATCAGAGCAGATGTCTCTGCTCCATGAGGAGGACTGCAGGGTTGTGTCTGATGTGCTGCGGGTGAGTGAAGGCTGAGTGCTATTAGTCAGGCTGCTGGGTCTTGGAGCAGAAGAGATGAGAGCATGGAGTCCTGAGTCTCACCCTTGTCCTTTCCTGCCTGTCGTCCCACCCCGGCTCCTCCCTTCTCCCAGACCCCCCCGAGCCCCTGGCTCTGCACAGGGAGATCCCAGGGACTGCCCGGGGACACTCCCACCTTGGTTGGGTGGGGAGAGCGTTGGGGCAGGCTGTGTGGGGCCACATTGCCTGTGCCCATCCCTTCATCCCTCACAGGGCTATTTCATATCTCTCTTGCTTTGTTCTCCTTCTTTGTTGATATTTGAGTTTACTTTTTTCATCACTCTCGACATCTTGTCCATGTATGTTTTGACCTCCATCCCTCAGCCATCTCGCTCCCATGCAGTGGAGAGGGCTGGGGGCATCCATCAGTTTTATAGCTTTGGGCAAACTCTCCCTGTGATTATCACCACTGGAAGACATGGATTCCAGCCCAAAAGGTGGGAGTGAGACACTTGGAGGGCACTGCTGTTACAGAGAGCTGTGCTTCTCGGGCATGAGCTTTCTCCAGCCCTGCACTGAGGCATGTCCCTGGCATTGCCCGTGCCCCTGACTCTCATCCTCTCCCTCCTCTCCCCCAGGCACCCTGGGGACACCCCTCTCAGTGTCCCACTCTCTCTCAGAGCCCCAGAGCACAGTTGACTGTGCCATGAGAAGCAAATGGTTCTGCCCAGCAGCTTTCATTCACAGAAGGACAGAGTAGCTGGGCTTGGAAACCACCTCAGGATGTCATCCTGTCCAACCCTCCCCTCCTGACAGCAGGGTCAGCTGGAGCAGGGGGCTCAGGACCACTTTTGGTCTAGTTTTGAACATTCACACAGATGGAGCCTCAGTATCCTCTCCGGGCAACATGCTTCCAGTGTTTGACCACCCTCTCTTTAAATGGAATTTCCTGGGTTTCAGTGTCCTTTCCCCATGGCACCGCTGAAGAGGGTCTGGCGTTGTCTCCTTTCTCTCTCCCATCCTTCCTCACTGCACAACTGCTCCCATGTGGCTTGGTTGACTACCTATCTGGTTTTTGATTGCTTCCATGTCAATTTTTGTGCTACATTTTGACCTACACTATGATTTTCCAGCATGCCCATGGCACTGCTGAAGAGGGTCTGGTGTTGTCTCCTTTCTCTCTCCCATCCTTCCTCACTGCACAACTGCTCCCATGTGGCTTGGTTGAATACTTATCTGGTTTTTGATTGCTTCCTTGTCAATTTTTGTGCTACATTTTGACCTACACTATGATTTTCCAGCATGCTTTCTGGCGCTCCCAGAGCACAGTCCCCTGCTCTTTTGGGGCTGTAATTCCTAATCTGCCCTTTCTCAATGGAAGAGATTGGTCTTTGGGGTGGTGGTGTAGCAGTGGGGAGAAATCATTTCCTCTTGATGTGAGTGTTTGAGGGAGCTGTGACCACTCACTCTGTGATGTGCCAATCCCTTGAACTTCTTTTTTTTTTTTTTTCTGTTTTTATGAGCAATGAAATGCATAAAGCTAATGTAAAGAGAAAAATGCCCTACACAAAACAATGTTGAAGTTAAACACTGAAATATGTCTCTTTCGCATAGTTTGTCTTTGTGGAAAGTGAGGAAATGAAATAAAAAGAACATGGAGGAAGGGGAAAGGGACAACAGGACATCATCCACGGATTTTGTGCTGCTGGGAATAAGTGATGTCCCCGCCCACCAGAACCTGCTCTTTCTCCTCTTGCTTATGATCTACTCAGTCACCATAGTCGGGAACATCCTCATCGTTGTGCTGGTGGTGGCGGACCGGCAGCTGCACACCCCCATGTACTTCTTCCTGGGCAATCTCTCCTCCTTGGAGACCTGCTACAGCTCCACCATCCTGCCTCGGCTGCTGATCAGCTTCTTGACAGGGGACAGCACCATCTCTGTGCACGGCTGCATGGCTCAGCTCTACTTCTTTGGTTCCTTTGTGACTACTGAGTGTTACCTGCTGGCAGCCATGTCATGTGACCGGTACCTGGCCATATGCCAGCCCTTGCTCTACACAAGCCTTATGACCTGGAAGGTCTCTATACATCTGGCAGCCACCTCTTGGCTATGGGGTTCCCTGCTGGTGGTGGTAGTCACGTTCTTGTTATCCCAGTTGCAGTTCTGTGGCCCCAAGGCCATTGACCACTTCTTCTGTGACTTTACCCCATTGCTGGAGCTTGCCTGCAGTGACACCAGAGTATTCACATTGTTTTCTTTCATATTTGGTATCTTGGATATAATTTTTCCCTTCCTTTTCACACTGGCCTCCTATGTGTGCATCATAGCTGCCATCCTGAGGATCCCATCCAGTGCAGGCAGACAAAAGGCCTTCTCCACTTGCTCCTCTCACCTCACTCTTGTCACCATTTTCTATGGCACCCTTTTTGTTGTCTACACACTGCCTAGAAGAGCCCCTCTGAGGCAGCTCAACAAACTGTTCTCGTTCTTCTACACCATCCTCACTCCCCTGGTCAATCCCCTCATCTACAGCCTGCGGAACAGGGAGGTCAGGGAGGCCCTCAGGAAAATGCTCAGAAAAGCCCTGGTTTGCACCCAGAGCTCATGCTCCTTTGGAGATAGAGGCAAAAGACACCTCTAGCTCATTTGGAAGCTCTAGATACCAGCTGACTCTTCCAAAGTGCTTGCCACTGAGATCACTTGTGGAGTGGTGATGGGAAGGAAACAAAAGGTCTTTGGAGAGAAATATCATTGTTTAAAAAGATGTCATGTGACATTGACAATGTCAAGCAAACATTTTTCTTGATAATAAACAGCTTGATGGTCTTATCTGTGGGAATTGCTGAAGTGTCAATGATTTATTTTCTAGTGGAGATAAGATATTTGGCCTTATATGTGAATATTACCTAAGAGCCATCACGAGGGCATCTTTCTCACTGTGGGTTCCCAGGATGGGAGTCATCTCCCCCTGTGGTGCACATTTCAAGGGTGTGAATATTGCATGTCAGCCACTAATGAAGGTCTACTTTCAGTGCACTGCCAAGGAAAAATGGGCCATTTCTGTTGGGTGGCTCATGTGGGTTACAGCCACACACGCCCTTCCACTGGCCAGACCCTGTTGCAGGGAGGAACCAGCAGGGGAGGCAGCAGCTGATCAGCTGAGTTAGAGGCCTTTGCTTCTCTTGCTGCAAGGGCAGGTGGAGAGGCTGGAGTGGCACAAGCAGTTCCTCTTTCTGAGGGCTAAAACAAGATCATCCCCTGGATCTCCCTCCCCTGACCTTTTCCTCCCCTCTTCCCA